AAAAAAAAAAAAAAAGTTTTAGGCTTTTCTTTGCATATAGATGCTTGATACATTAAGAACGATTGAAATAATAATTTGAGTAATAATTAATACGTATTTGTTACTTATAGATTTAATAGATATTTGTTGTTACTTTATTAACGTTTTTACGCTGATACTGCGAGGTAAAAACGGCTGATGCTATGATTTTGTCTGGTTTATGTCCTCGTTGCTGTCCTAATTTAGGATCTTCTTTTTAATAAATTCTTGAATATGTTAAAAAAGAGAGAGAGAGAAAGGGGGCCCGGAGAGGATTTTTAGCATGTGGAACATGTTTATCTTTTAACATTAAACGGATAGTTATTTTGCACATGGAAACGTTTGTTTCGTGATTAGTTTTGATAGTATACACAAGTCAGTCTAAAGTATTTAAAAGTGGATCTTACGTGGCAAGTTATACTCTTAATAACAACTCTTTTGTCGTTATCGATGTAGGATAGTGAGTGTTTGTTTGAAGTTAAGCACAAAGCTATACTCTGCCCACCACGGGTATCGAAACCCGGTTTCTAGCGTTGTAAGTCCGCAGACATGCCGCTGGGGGACCGTAGTGAATGAACCTACAGTAGCTCCACATAAAAGGCTCCGATTGAATAAATCACAATGATGTTTCTTTCGTTCCCCTATAAACCCCACCATACACAAATGGTTGCATTACGAGTAAATTTGACTCTAGCACACCAACCGGCAAAAAATTAAATTATCTGCAGATTAATGCATCATTTATCATGCAAGTGAGCGTCCCCGATGGCTCAGCGCTAAACTTAGGGCTTCTGACGTTAAAATCCGGAGTTCGATTACATGCGGTAGACACAGCGCAGAGAGCTTTGCGCTTAACAACAACAGCCAATAGAAAGTAGGGTAGGACGCCATCTCTCGAGAAGTTTTTCTACAAGCCTGAAACTAAATCTAGATAAACAAAACCTGTTTGGCCTTCTATTTTCTATAACAACGATTTCCGAAAAAAAAAAAAATTAATTTATATTAGTTCGCTTTAAACAAAAACTTTAAAAAGTGTTCGTATATATAAATGTGATAATATTAGACATCTGGCTTCAGGAAATTACAAGATAAACATTAATCAGATTTTAGGTTAAAATAATTTTAATAAAATATTACCAATATTGAATTTGAAGAGAAAATCGTGTAGCAATTATTATAGGAAGTGTTTATATTAAAATCAATTCAACAAAATATGTATGTGCCATTCAGGGTTAAGCGTAGTATGATGAATGTACATAATAGTAGAAAACAAATCACCCACATAGAAGTTTACCAATATTTATTTTATTTTTTTTTCATATCCTGATGTACATAAGTGACCCTTAGGTTACTATTGAATAGGCAAAACCTTTTTTTTTTCCCCGCCTCATAAGAATTTGCTTTCATTTTCTAAAGGTTCTAATAGTTAAAAAGTTCTAGTAGACAGTATTAAATGTGTCTAGTTTACTTAAAATATTGAAAAAGTTCTAAGCTTCCAAAAACCAATTCAAAATTCTCGTTCACCCAAACATAAGTATACAGTTCAGTTCCTTTAACATACAACAACAAACCATTCAAAATACTCCTAGTTGAGCAGATGTTAATTATGATATCAAACTCGCTTCACAAATGGAAAAAAAAAAAAATCAAATCATAAACTAAGCTTCTCCTTAGACTGGACGGAATTATTTACAGGCATTCCTTTAAACTGAACCTAAAAACTTCACATTTTTGACCACCATTTATTTTATTTTTTTTTTATTTTCAAACAAATTCTAAACATTGAACCACTAAACCCACAAATTTTTGGTTTTTTTGTTTTTTTTTACATTATTTTTTTTTATCCAGTGATCTGAATTTAAGGAATGATGAAAAAACAAAACAAAAAAAAAACGTTAATTACACAAACATTTAGGATGTGTATATTACCAACTGTGTTTGATAAAATTTGCCCTTCTGGAGGAAACTAGTACTAATTGGATATTAATACAGCTGGAAAATATTTATGATAAATAAAGTCTTACATATTTAAATTAGAAATACTGACAGCCTACTAAATATTGTATTTGGCAATAAAGATTGCAGTAGTAAAATCCACAAAGTCCAAGTAGTCACGACACAATGAAACTTGCAGTCTAGTAAATGACAGTGCAGCTGTTGAAGAGTTGTCTTTAGGTTTATATGTTCAATTACAGTGATACAACAGTTCTGAGAAGTTGCCAAGTTGGTTTGTGTATGGAGTCAAGTCAAACATACTTCCAGAGAAAACGATTAATTACTTTTAGTAGACCCTTGTTTATCTGATATATCTGGTCTAAACACTATCTAAAAACGTTATAATTGCCAGTACAACCAAATTAAGACTAACTTTACAAACAAATAATTTTTAAAGCAACTTTAATAGATATATTAAAATCAAAACATACAGTACCTGTATTTTCTAAAATACCTAGTGGGAGCTGAATATTTTTCTACTACTACTACTACAAAGAGCTCCCTGTCACGGGCATAACTGTATATTAAACTACATGAAGTACAAACATAAAAACCATTCATTTGTAAATGTATAGATTAAAACCTTACAAAAAAAATCCTTCAGTTTTCCACTGCCTACGTAAACCTAATCAATTCAGTTTTACAGAAGCTGTATCAAAAATCTCCTTACGATAATCAAGGCTCTACCTCAAGAGTAATCTTAAAACAGTCGGAAACAGGTTTAACCAGACAAAAAAATAAGCACTTTCTTTCACTTTGCTTATACTATAACCTTTCATATTTGAAGATACACAAAATGGGTTGTATAGCTTGTTTTAACAACAGCTAAAAATCACAGGATATGAACAATTTAACACTTCTTGTGCTCACCCATGCTCACTTCAAGAAGTTTATTTTCAGAGGAAGCTTACACAGTTGTGGGTTTTCTGGTAAATAGATCCTCATGTGGTATGAAAGGTTAAGATAAGAAAATGAAGCAGTATTATAGAAGAGACCTTAATGAAATATTTTTGTGGATATTATTGAAAAAATAATAGTAATAAAAAGTTCAAACCAAATATTTAACTCATAATGACAGACTCCACGGCTCGTCTCAAACTCAGGTTTTGTAAGCGACGTTGGGCTAGTTTTGAATCATTTGGAGGAGACAATTCAAAGATGGGTAGCGGAGAGGAGTCTCTCACGGGTGGGGATGTATTTTCCATCAAGTTTTCATCATCTTCCCAACAGTGTGGTTTAATCATTTCCATACTGAAAGTTAAATGGTGTACTACCATACGCTTTACAGCATTGGCACTTTCAGCAAAAGCTGCCAGGTCTCGTGCACTGTTATTCCTGTAAGGCACAAAATAAATATTTAAGACATTTAAACTTTCACATACTTCCTGAGAATGCTTTGGAGTGTTTAATAAGTTTGTTGGTCCACCAAGTTTAATCCACATGTGACTCAATA